ATTATTTGAGCTGCACTTTCATATTCCGTAAACAGTTTTAATTTGGTGTTTCCGGTTTGAAAGTTACAGACCATGGAAATCCTGACAATAATTTAGAATCAGCGTATACACTGGGGAGTACGGTCTTCTTCGTTGTAAAGCCGTGGAGACAGAACGACTTTTCGGGGGGAAAATATGGCCTCTATCTTAAAGTTCGAAAAGTAGGCCCCAAGCAAGAAAACAGCAAGGAACCAGTACGCGTCAAGCAGCAAGCTGTTCTTAACACTGTGCTTGAAGCCAGCTTATTCCCGATTTCCTATCTTACTTTTAGGCTCCATTGCAGACAAAAAAATATGCACCGCATTCTACAACTGTGTGGTGTCCCCAGCAACGTCTGTCATAAAGTACGTTCGTTACAACGGACGCATTTTGTGCGCTCGTGTAGACGCTGCCTTAGAACCTGAAGATGGAGATGACATATTCCTCCGAAACGTCGGGAGCTCTCCAAACTACATGGTGTTATAACCCAGAAGAAGCATTTCAAGCATCCATACAAGCGGAATAACACGAGCAGAAGGGGGAGGGGGATGCTGCCGCAGGAGGACGTTACGGCCAAAGTTCAATCCCCCATAGTTTTTAATTCTGCAGCTAAAGCACGAACTTGCGCGCGCGGGATTTTCATAATAAATAACACGTTCGCCGCCAGGTTTCCGCTTGTGCTGGGTACCTCATCACAGAGGCATCTTGCTATTAAAGCAAAAAGCAAAAGACATGATGTCCCCGCCCTGTCTTACATACGTAAACATCTTCTTGCGGGCAGAGTAGCCGGAGGAACGCTCAGCGCAGATTCCGCTGGATCCATCCGCCACGAGCCGACATCTTCATGTGTGTGTCGGACAGTAAAACATAGAACCGTGTCCGGCACTTAATGGACCATTAGCATATACACCGTCATTTGCAGCGAAACGGAAAACTACATTTCATGCTCTTCTGATGGGAACGTTTAATGTACAGTTGTGTCTCTTATTAACACGGTATCTTTATGTTAATGGTGTTACGTGTATGCGCGACTATAAATCGGGGTTTGGATTGGATATTGCGCCATCGTTAACATCCAGACTTTGCAAAACATCAGAGCATACGCTAAGCCTCTTCAAGCCTGCAAAGTCTTCTCTAGTAGTTGTGTGGTAATTGCTTCTAACAATGGTTATTCCTCTGTTTCCGGGTTCAAGCCTTCCCTGAACTACGGATCCCTCCCAACTGCCCATTCTTGCTCCAGTTGTGCTCCTTATAACCCCTCAGCACGGAACACCACCATTTCTAACAATACCTATATTGTAATTATGTATTTAAGCATTCTCTTGCAAGCCATATTAAAACGTCTATATATATATATAACACAGACCGCCAGTAATGCAAGAAATTGTTCATTTTTCTTCAACTAATACTTTAACACAACACGTTTCGGCCCTATATGGCCGTCTTCGGGTGTCTTAATATGTTAAAACTTCCACACTGCATTAATATGCACTAAAATCACACGCTGTAGTGGACTTAATAAAATAACGGCCCGGGTTCGATCCCGGGTCTGGTCAAGTGGGATTTGTGGTGGACAAAGTGGCGCTGGGGCAGGTTTTCTCCGAGTACTTCGGTTGCCCTTGCCAATCTTCATTCCACCAACTGCTCCACAATCACCCTCACCTATCATATGGGGCTGGTACAACAGGCCAGAAGTGGCCGCAGTATAAGGGACTTAGTCCCACGCCACTAGCAATAACAAAATATATATACAGGAATGTAAATGTGGATGAAGTCCTGAAGTCCCATAAAGTGGATCTGTAACAAGGCAACATAACTGTTCAGTTAACTGCGCATGTCTCAATGTACAGTTTAACTGCACGTGTTACCCTTTGCCTTTCATGGGACTATCACTGCTTCTCTGGCGACTGTGGGTCCAGTGCCTCTCCCTCACGCGAAACACATGGTTACTAGGGACAAAACAGAAAATTCTGAAGAGATCCAGAATCCCAAGAACACGGGATATGATTGCAAACACGGCGTGCAATTCTGATGATCTGGAAAGTGTCTGGGTAAGAAACAAGGAACACGACATACAACGCGATACAGCGCTGTGTCATATCTGCTGAAAGCCAGAAGAGAAAGCCGTCTGCAAACACGTCCGTTGCTACGTAACTGGGGCAACAGACATGCATACAACAGAACTGTTGGAAGTGGTGTTTTCTGTGCTTTCTGTGCCGAGGTTATATAACGAGGCCCATCTGCCATTATGAGAGACTAGCATAAGAGGCTTTAACTTGGCGGTGGTCAAGGATATGACGCGTTCAAGTGATTAGACTGCCGTTGTAGCGGAAGCTACTTGAAATAGGGCCTGGACTGACTGAGTCCCTGTATATACGAGGGCTGGAACTTAGAGACGCCATGCAACGGAACCAAATAATGTTGCTTATACCACACGTTAGTTACATACCTACCTTACATCAGAGCAAATGGACTCTCCCATCCCACATCACGCGCATGCGCAGTGACAAGAAAAAACAGAGCCTCGTATTACCTGGCGGTCTAATGTAGTGGTCACGATGTTTTCGAAACAGGAACAAGTGAGTTGGATAAAGATTGAATGTGCCAGAGGCCGTACAGCACGACAGTGTCATCAAGGCCTTCAAGAGGCTTGCAGGGAATCTGCATTGCCTTACAGAACAGTGGCAAGGTGGGTAAAAGCCTTCAACGAGGGACGCCAAAATGTGGCAGACATGCGTCGGCCAGGTCGTCCTAGTGTCAGTGAAGACGTGTATGCTCTTTCCGCGTTACTGGAGAGTGATCGACGCCATACGATTCGTGAGCTGGCCCGAGAGACAGGTCTAGAGCAAACGACTGTGCTTCACATTCTGAAGGAACGCCTGGGCATGAGAAAAATTGCATCACGATGGGTTCCACATGATTTGACAGAAATGCAGAAATGGCTACGATACGACGCTGCTCGTAACCACTTGGATCGCTATGAGCGCGAAGGGAAGGCTTTCTTACGCAGTATCGTTACGCTGGATGAGACATGGGCCAAATCGTACGAGCCAAAAATGAAACGCCAATCGAACAAATGGCGTCATTAGGGGTCACCACGAAAATCAAAAGTTCGTCAGAACCCCAGCAATGTGAAAGTTATGGTGATTCTCGTGTACGACTGTGATGGTGTTATCCTAACGCATACCGTTCCCCGACAGCAGACCATCAATGCGCAGTATTACTGTTCATTTTTGGAACATAACCTGCAACCAGCTTTGAGAAAGAAGCGGTAACACTTTCTGCAGAACCCACCCATCATTTTGCAGGACAATGTTCGGCCGCAGGCAGCGCAAGCTGTGGCTGATTTGTTCGATCGATGTGGCTGGGAAGTGCTGTACCATCTACCATACACCCCGGACTTAAGCCCTTGTGACTTCGACTTGATTCCTAGAATGAAGGACCCACTTCGTGGCATTCGCATCAGAACTGTTGCAGAGATTCTTCAGGCAGTAGACCGCTCCATTCGAACTATCAACACAACAGGCGCTGCTAAAGGTATCCTACGACTTCCACATCGCTGGCAACGGGTTGTACACAATGCTGGTGACTACACTGAAGGACAGTAAAACTTCGAAACATGCATCTATTTTGTATCAGTTGTAAATAAATAGTTGCCACTATTAAGGCTCAAAACCTCGTATTTTATATACATTTATTAACATGTTTAACACATAAAATATAAATATCCTTTACACTATGACAAATGATTTACTACTGCAGACAATGACCCTAACAAAAGACAGACCGTCCTCTCGTCAGAGAGGGCGCACCACAATAACAAGACCGTAAGTGTCAAACAATAATAAATATCTGGTCATAAGCCCCAGATTGGGCTCGACACCAAGATTGACTGACTGACCGTCAGTCGCAATGTGACTTTGACTTTGATTACGAGAGAGTCTTAAGACGGCAGTTTGAACAGTAGGAGCCAGCCAGCGAGAACCTGATCGCGGGAGCAAGGAAACGTCCACTGCTGGAAGACTGAGGACACTAGTATTCGTGTGATAGTTCAGCCATAATTTATGTAAACGGTTCCTCCGTATGTCCAGCATTTTACGGGTAGTTAGGCCCAATTCTGTTTAAAGTATTAAAGCAAGTGTCACGTAACTTCGAACAAGGCCAAGAGTAACCTTGAATGCGAAGAAGAAAAATTTCAGACAAGGGGTTGGGTTCGAGGGCGTGAGAAGTGACAGGCGGCCAGTTGAACACAACAAAGTAAACAGCAACGGCATCAAATTAAAAGTGGGTCGAATAGAACTGCTGACAACAGAGACTGCAGTTGTGGGGCCAGGAAAACCATCGCCAGTTTGGTTATTGGCAAGCAGAGTGTAGGGGTACAACGCAACCCGAAGAGCGATACAATTCAATTCTTTATCAACTTTCGTGCTCACTTAACAGTCCAATGGCCAATGGAAACAATTACAGAAACAATGGTAAATGACAAACCAAGGTAATCTGTGTGACGTAGACAATAATAACAATTTATTAAGCTAACATGCGGCGAGAAAAAAATATATTGTAACGTGTCTGGAATCCAGAAGAGTCACTTCTATGGAAACGCTAAACAGACCGTTGCATAGGAACAACAATCGCTCTATTGTAGTTCTAACAGGAGTCTCCATGGTTATAACAGAGGGTTCATTTGCATAGCAGCAACCGAGGTTATAAAACGGGGTTGAACGCATTCGCACAGTTAGTCTGCTATAAACCGCCAGAGAAGACAGTCCAGTATCGCCGAGTTACTGTAAGCAGTCACTGTAATACTGCAAGTGCTAACGACTGTAAAGCGTGTGGCTGTACAAGTGAAGAACAATAAAGGTACTACTGAATTTGAGACCTACGTGGATTTATTTGTTGCGTGACACACACAGCACGTAACACTGGTGTCAGAATTGGCTTCGAACTGTAACACGCGTCCTACAACAACAACAAAATGGAAATGCAGCCGGTGGTGAGTGAGTGCTCGCAGCAGCAGACGCCGCGGGCCACCTCGAACACCAGCAGCAGTAGCAGCAGTGGGGCGGCCTCAGCGGCTAGCTCGGGCAGCGCAGCTGGCATGGCCGTGTCCCGTGTGCCCTCGCCCCCTCCACCCAAGGTCAATACGCCCGTCGCAAAGAACCGGTGCTACAATGAGGTTAAAGTGGTAAAGTTGAGCTATATGTGGACCATCACCAACTTCAGCTTCCGTCGTGAGGAAATGGGCGAATTTCTCAAGTCATCCACATTCTCTGCTGGGGCCAAAGATAAGCTCAAATGGTGTTTGCGGATGAATCCAAAGGGTCTGGATGAAGAAAGCAAAGACTACCTCTCATTGTACCTGCTTCTAGTCTCATGTAACAAGTCAGAAGTCAGAGCCAAGTTCAAACTTTCAATACTAAATGCCAAAAGAGAAGAAACCAAAGCTATAAAGAGCCAGCGTGCATACCGATTCGTGCAAGGCACAAAGTGGGGCTGCAGGAAATTCATTCGAAGAGACTTCCTGCTGGATGAAGCGAACGGTCTGTTGCCCGATGACAAGCTCACAATATTTTGCAAGGTGAGCGTAGAAGGGGATAGTGTAAACATCTCGGGACAGTCAAATGCGATACAGTTCAAAGCGCCAGAGCGCCGTCTCTCAGACGACCTCGGCTTGCTGTTTGAAAACCAGAAGTTCAGCGATGTGACCTTGTCAGTAAGTGGACGGGAGTTCCAGGCCCATAAAGCGATATTAGCAGCTCGGAGTCCTGTGTTTGCAGCCATGTTCGAACATGAGATGGAAGAAAGGAAAGATAACCGGGTTGAGATAACAGATGTAGATCATGAGGTTCTGCGTGAAATGTTGCGCTTCATATACACTGGCAAAGCAACCAACCTTGAGAAGATGGCTGATGATTTGCTCGCTGCTGCCGACAAGTATGCACTAGAGAGGTTAAAAGTCATGTGTGAAGAAGCACTGTGCACGAACCTGTCGATAGAGAATGTAGCCGACATGTTGATTTTGGCAGACTTGTACAGTGCAGACCAGCTCAAGGCACAGTCCATCGCCTTCATTAACACGCGTCCTACAACAACAAAAAAATGGAAATTTAGCAGATGTTGGAACTCCTTCTGAAGAAAATGAGAGCTGGCGAAGAAAAGGCGGAAGCCAGACATGAACAGATGATGGGCGATTGGAAAGCATGGCGAGAAGAAATGGCCGCCATGACAGACAACTGGGGGAACGGCAGCCACAAGGAGTCAGCGGCCGAAAACGACATAAGGACGATAGCCTGCCAAGAAGCGACGGAGGCAGACGCAGAGAAGATTGAGCCCCACTCAGAAGTGATGCAGTCCGTACTGGAGCATCGAGAGGTCCCCGTAATAGACGCCACGATAATGCCGGTCGGAGAACCGAGGAAATGGCGTAGGGACCGAAAACTGGCCGCGGAGCGCCGCCGCCAGAAACCGAAGGATTCGACGCGGGAAAATCGTGGACCCCAGGAGAAATTGGCCGTCGCCCGCAGAGTGACAACACGCCGTGTGGAAGTGGCACGGCAGAAGAAAAACAGCAGGAAGTCATCCCGTCGCGCGACAGTGGCACGACGTTGGAGAAATGCCTTCAAGAAGGAAACTTCCCAGGGAACCTTCGGATGCCAGCGTAAAGGGAGGAAAGGAATAAAGAACTTAAGCGGCAGACGGCCGCTATGCCAGAAGAAAAAAAGGTGCCAACCAAGAACGGATTCGGAGGGTGTAGGCCAGGACAGCGATCGCACCCAGGAAGGAGAGGAACACGAGAGAAGACCCCCTACGAGGCTGTCAACGTGAAGAACACGAAACAAATTATCAGGTCTACCGCGAAAAATTGGACACTGTGGAGGGGTCGACCCCCTCCAAAACGGAAAAAGGAAAACGGCCCTTATGGGAGGAACCGGTAACGTAGAAGTACCGGCCTCCCCAACAAGGATGAATGGAGAATGGAAGTGAGGAATGAATGTAAAACAAGGAGATCGACAAATTCTCGGCTACGGGAGTGCTCGGGGCGAGCACCACTGAAGAGAGGGGCGGATGCGGGACGCGCAAAGGACACCGAGACCGAATGCAGACGTTGCCAGCAAAAGGCCGCGGAACCGAAACTGAGCGAGAACCTTTAGAAGGGAGCAGTGTAACGTGTCTGGATCCAGAAGAGTCACTTCTATGGAAACGCTAGAATAGACCGTTGCATAGGAAACAACAATCGCTCTATTGTAGTTCTAACAGGAGTTTCCATGGTTATAACAGAGGGTTCATTTGCATAGCAGCAACCGAGGTTATAAAACGGGGTTGAACGCATTCGCACAGTTAGTCTGCTATAAACCGCCAGAGAAGACAGTCCAGTATCGCCGAGTTACTGCAAGCAGTCACTGTAATACTGCAAGTGCTAACGATTGTAAAGCGTGTGGCTGTACAAGTGAAGAACAATAAAGGTACTACTGAATTTGAGACCTACGTGGATTTATTTGTTGCGTGACACACAAAGCACGTAACAATATAGACCTATGCATACACCCATACTGAGAGAGTTAAGATACGGTTATCCTTGTACTTAAGTAATTAAGCACAATGCCATGAAAACGTATGGGGGAGTGGCGGTATGGCGCCCTGCGTCAATAAGATTTTTAAATAAACTACGTAGAAGCTCAGAATGGGAGGAGACCGAGCTATGAGGTGTCTGGGTATGGCCACACATGGTTACGTGTTCACCTGACATTAGGGAATTCGGCCTGATGCAATGCTAAGATTGAAGCTCTCTTTCCGGAATTCCTTAGGCCGCTGTACAATCCATCTTGCAGTCGGTTTCCGGTCTGAAAATTTGTATGCTATTCTGTTCTGGCCCATTCTTAAACTGATATATAACCTGTAATGGGTTTGACGTGACTGATATTTTGGCGTATACATCCGTTGCTAAGCTGTGAGTCTGTAAACGGGGGCCGTTGTTAGGTAACGCCCACAACAAGAGAAGTGTTTTCTGTAGTCTGCGCCGCCACCGTTGCTACTCAACGGCGCGGTAAACACGCCTCTACAATAAAAAAGCTGTGTTTTGTATGTGATCCTTGCCGAAAGGTTATCCAGGGCTATAACCGGGCTACCTTGTTCCTGGAGGATATGAATACTTTGACCTAGTCCTCTAGGGTGGGGGAGTCTCGAGTCTGAGCCAGTAAAATTGGGGCTCGGACTCGAAAATGACTGTGCTGGCGGGAGTCAGCAGCAAATGTAAACGACAGACACGTCCTGTCGTCAGAGAGCATGTTACATAAGAACTACGACCGCAAGAGTTCAGCCCCCCCCAAAAATTGCTGGTCGTGATGCTCAAGGGTCTTGTTGCCAAGGCCAACTGATTGGTGGTAAACCGCCAGTCGTAAAGTAACTCTGACTCTCTGAGGCAGTTCAGTTGTGAGACGGAGGCCAGCCGGGAATGTCGTGAGCGCGGAAGCTGAAGAATGTGCACTGTTAGAAGCCGTTACAGGGAAACGACTGGTGAAGACTTACCGTGTGCTGTAGTGTTTTATGTATATATATAGTGTGTGTGTGCATTGGCATTATCATTAGAATTAATTATAGTTTCGAGTGGTGTGTATATAAGTGGTCGATAATCTATTCACCAAATCGAAATCCCGCCTGTAGTCACGCTCATAAGTTTTCGTGTAAGTCCAATATCTTTACTGAACTGGCCAACACATAATGTTCTGTGATTATGTTGCTCTGTGGCGGAGAGGCCGCTGAAGTTGATGGCCAACAGAGCGAGAGGCGAGGCTGAATGAGGACAATTGGATTAGAAGCTGAAGCCGATTTACCCTAGCATAAGAAAACCATCAGTCCCTGGCACTTCCTACTTTCAATTTTCTGTATGTGTGCTCAACGTTCTTGATTCAAATTTTGTAAATAATCAGTCATTTTCAGCACCGTAATAGCCGTTTCATTGCAGAAAAAGGAAACTGAATAATCAAAGCATGCTTGTAGCTTCTGGGCTACTACGTGGATTGCAGAAACCGCAGATAATGGAACATTAGTTCAATGCGAATGACACCTCGTTTAAGTATGCACATATGCCACTCATGGGCTAACAACACGAGATGCGTAAGCAGGGAATGTACGTGCGAAACAATACTGAAAGAAGCCTGTGGGGGGGGGTCACGAGACAAAGACGCTTTTAGCCGTGTGTGCAGG